AAATGCCCCTTTTCACCTCTGATAAATCAATTTCTGATGGATGCCCCTTTTCCGTCAACAAATGCCCATTTCCCATACCCATAAGTGCCCTATCTCATTTCTGGTGAGTGCCTTCTTTTAGGTGTAAGAAGTGCCCCGTTTGAATCTTTGATAATTACTCTTTGTACCTTGACACATGCTCCTTTTCTTTTCTAATAAGTGTCTTTATCCCTTTCGCACGTAGGTATGGGGGGGGGGCATGTGCCCCTAACCTGCTCATCATTAGTCTTGCACCTAATTTAAAGCGACTAAGAGTAATTTCCCCTAAAGGTCGCTCGCTCGCTCGCATTTATAAATGATATGTCACTTTAAAACAAATGTTTTTTCAGTCTTCCGTGATGCTTATAACCCCATCATGATTTGGTTTTTTCCTCTTTATAAGATGTAATTTTTCACTCTGCAACCTCACAGATCTTACATTTTTTCTCGCTCGCAAATGAATATTCAGACAATCACACCCAGCCGAAAGTGTGATGCTTAAGCAATATCTTGTATAATATATAAAGAAAAACAAATATTAAAATCGTCCCTGATAATGGAATCACAATGAAAGGGTATACCAATGTCTAAAAAAATGTATATTTTTGCTTTGAGATTTCGCTTTGTAGGTGCCCTTTTTTGTTGGTGCTTTCCACTTTGGAAATAGCTCCGCCGCCCCTGCTTACGCATTAGCGCCAGCGTTAATTTCACGCTTGCGCGCACAGGGGGTGTCTGTCTGTGTGTGTGTGTGTGGGGGGGGGGGTTCCTCTCTAGCTCTGAAGCTGATTTTTTTTTTTTTTACCTGGATTCGTGCGATTCGGTTAATACTTTTAGAGGGAGTCTGAGGGGTGATGTGCCCCCCTCTGAAGCTGACATTTTTTGAATTTTTGAAACAGGATTCATGCGTTTTGGTTAATACTTTTTTGGGGAGTCTGATTTGATTTCAAAACACCTGCAGTTAATGCGGGATGGGGTTGCAGCCTCTCTTTCCCCAAAAATTTAAAAATTACCAATATGCATTTGTTATATCTTATCTCGTATATTTTGGTGACAATTAACACTTTTCACAACATACATAAGCTCAAATTTCCGCTCACTCGCCAAATTATTAAAACAGGAAATAAATATTGGGGCAAGAGGCTTCAGCCCCCACTGATGGAAATGTCAAAAAAATTGCGCGCGAGCACAACTTGAAAACGGGGAATGTTGATATCGGACAAGAGATGTGACGTGAGCATGTCCCCTTTCCAAAATAATTGTGCCTGCTTGTAGGTACCAGTACACTATTAAAGTACAGTGCTTCTAATATGACCTTGTCAGTATTGGTAAGTTTAAATAACGGTCTGCGCGAATTTCGAATTTTCGGCCCCCCCTATTGGAAAATCCTGGATCCGCGCCTGAATTACATGTAGTTTGCTACTTCCTAAATAGTGGGATATTTTGAAAACAAGACCAAGATTTCTCAGGATATTTTCTCGACCAAATATCCTGCAACTTGCATCAGCGGGCTGATGAAGACACAAATTAACTGGTTAATTTGTGATCGGAATAGTTAAAATAGCGGGTTATTGTTTGGCAAACTCGATCTGATGATGATATGCCTATATAGTCACATCAGTTTGTGTACATAAGTTTCGTAATCAGATAACATACAAGTTAATAAGCAACAGCTTTAAACACTTGACCTCGTACAGAGCCTGATCTTTGTGTGTTATAATTACTAGAGTTACAATCTACACAAACGTTTAGCAGAACTCATTAAACCCTGTTAAACCCGGTGATGCATTTATAGGGAAGGATTTTCTTGGTCATCGTTCGTCGTTCATATGAGGGTGGCTATATCACGATAATAACTTGCAAAAAGTTGCAATATTGTGGTGTTCCGCTGTACGCCCCTGTTCTCGTACTTATAAGCAATCATTAGTATTTGTATCAATCAGCAAGTATCCCCAGAAATGATGGTCATCAAGTATAGTGGTCAGGCCCTCAGACTCAAAAGTTACGCTTGACTGCAAAAGCCATTATAAAACACAGAATACTCTGCAGATACCGCACATAATCTTGCAGGATGCAAACACAATAGTACCAATAGTGGTACATCTACCACTATTGGTAACCAAACTGAATAGAGTAGCAGCAAAAGTTGCAGCTATCTTTTAAGTATTAAGGTTAAGTGGCAGATATGAACAGGGCCATAGAGATCACTACAGATTTGATAAGCTAGTCCATTTAATATAAATGACTTCCTGATTTTACAAAGAAATCATGCACATGTTCTTGAGAGTAGGTAGTTTCGGTTGTAACATTGTAGATAATAAACCTCATTACACACTTCTAGTGGAAACTAATTATGGTTTCTGTTTACTTGATGAAAAAGAAATGAAAGGGGGAAGTTTGATCAGGGGCTGTATTTGATTCAGTGCACAGCTTAAAACTGCTGATAGTCCCAAATTTGCCAAAGGTTTGATGGCAAAATTTCACTTAAAATTGTAGCATAATGTGCAAGAAGATAATGTTATCTAAGACACACTTCTGCAAAGATGCCCCCCCCCAAAAAAAAAATAATAATTTGGGTATTCTGTTGTACGCAGAAAACCTACATTTTGTATTCTTTCATCAATAATTGACTTCAAACACATTTGTTTTGAAAATCGTTGCAGAAATGTGACATTCTCTTTCGCATTATGATACAATTTATTTTAAGTGAAATTTTGCCATCAAATTTTGAGAGACTTAAGTCGGTATTTTAATTGGCTAAGTAATATGTATTAACTCGTATTCGACACATCTGTTCGGTGCACTCTAGTAAGCCGGGACCTGTTAAACCAATGACAAGACAGTCATAACTTTATCCGGCAACTACAGAGATGTCTCTGATCTTCCTAAACTGTTTTAGGAAGAGCTTACCAGCTAGAAATCTCTTGAATTTGACACTCCATTTTTCATCATCTCACAACAAAATTATTTTGTGTAGTGCCCTCTGCAGCAAAACTCAACTATCCCCTAAAAAGTAAAATTAAAATCGAGGTCTTCTTTCAATTTGACAAGAGTTACATGTATGCCTAAATGTCGGGCTAACTCGGACCAGGGGACAACTCGGCCCAGGTACAAAAACGGTCATTTTTTGCATGTTTAGGTTTAGGGTTAGGTTTAGGGTTAGGGTTAGTGTTTCATTGAATGAACATAAACTATACTTTTTTCATGCATTATCATCACTTACAAGTACCATGTTTAATATAAGTTCGCTTCATTGAGATGTACTTGTAAGATACCATACTTAATGTTTTCTTTGTATTTTTGAGGACACCACCATTAATGTTAGCGTGTATTTAGTGTGTGTCAGAATAACAACGTACGGGTACAGTTGTCAGTGTACAACCCTTATGTATTTCTCTTTGCCATCAGACATTGGCTTAAGATGCAACATGCCTGTTACGAGGAATGTTTTCCTGTTAAACCAGAGTTCCTGCAAAAGAAGTGAGTTTGCTCAAAGTATAAATATAAGATGAAATTTAGCCAATTTAATTTACATTAGTAACATGGTTAATTGAACGGTATAGATTCATGTGAGTTAACACGTATGAGAGTGCGCATGAATGACGTGTCACATTGTAGATTTGTTACCGATAGTGGGCGTGTGTAACACGTTGTGTTAAAATGACATAGAAAAGAAATGTCATGGTCATGGTATTGGATATGTAATACAGTATCATAATTTTTGGTTATTTCAATAAGCAAAGTGTGGTTAATCGTAGACCGAAAGCTTCAGTCTCTATACCGTCGGTTGTTCCACTGAGACTACGTCTGGCTCCACTAGACCTCCGGTTATAGAGACTGAACGATCGCCTATGCCAGCCTATGTTGAAGATATCACGGCTAGATTTTAGCCGTTAGGCCCTTCCCACAAACATGAACAAACTTGCCACGGCCGTATTGTTATGCCCACAAAATCCCCCAAAATGTCATTTTACCTCGTGCATATCCAATTTTACATTAGGCCTAGGCTATAATACATCGGTTCCACTTACTAACTTGATTGAAATAATCCGTTTAATGGTCCCTTTTAAGGAAATTATGGGTCAAAATCGACATCCATGTTGAAAATCTTGCAAGCCGTGTTAAACTCTCGCTGCCGTCAATCTCATCCCTTCTAGTCTACGCCGAAGGCAAAAATGATTATGAAGGAAAAACTGTGATAACGCCAGCTGGGCCGAGTTGTCCCCTGGTCCAAGTTAGCCCGGATCCGCCTAATTTCTCTTACTTGCAAATTTTGATTCAATCATCGCCAAAACAACCTCGAGTTTCACCAATTTTGTAAATATTCTTAGATGTCATTAGTAACACATGTTCTCATGCAATTGGTTGTTTGTATCATAAATTAGGCTAAATTAAAAATTTCACTCCGAAAACAAAATTGAAAAGTAAAAATCTAAAAGAGTGGTAGACCGAAAATTCCTGTCTCTTTCGTTCGTTAGCCTCTGATTTGGGTAAGGTCGGCTCCTCTCGGGTCGGCTCCTCTCTTTAGGAGCCGACCTGCCCGACCCTACCCATATCAGAGGCAAAAACGAAAGAGACAGGAATTTTTGGTCTACCACTCTTTTAGATTTTTACTTTTCAAACAATTTGTTTTTTTAGTAAATTTTTAATCTAGCCTCATTTATCTTTTCTGGTAATAGAGGATAAAATCAGATATATAATGACAAATACTATATTTTTTGTTTGCATGCTAATCCCCCCTCACTCTAAAAAACGCTCCACATATAGACCCCTAGAGATGGTTCATAATATCTTGCGCAATCAAGCCAGCTCAAGGCACCGCACTGCACCGCCGAGGTCCATGGCACAGCTGCACAGCTTGTGAGCTCCATCGACCGTACTACCACCACGACGAATTGGCTGTCTTGGAAAACCAGTACACAGCGTACAGCTTATACAAACAATGACAAGCAATTTCAAGCAAAAAATAACAATCAAAAACTTACGAAAATGCAACAATGTAGATTCTGGTAGCTGTTCACCGATAGACGTTATCTATATCCAACATATTACTCAGCTCAGCTGACTGGCTCGACCTCAATTAGATTTCCTGGATTCGATCCTACATGTAAAACTGCACGCATTACTTCGACTACTATGCCGGATCTTGAGTGCACGTCATTATTTGTTTACATATGTATGGTAGTCTGTTTAAAAGAGTGTCTGTTTATACACATGAACAGTATATCTTTTCCAGATTAAGCAGGTTACCCTTTGTAATCTGATTATCCACAATCATTTTGGAATAAAAATATATGTATATGAAATGGAAATAATTCACAAGATTATTGCGTCCATGCATCACCTGTTCTGAGAACGAAACGGGAGAGGAGAGATTTTAAATAGGACAGCCCGAATTAAGGCTGTGCCTGTGGGGTGAATGGTAGTACCACTTACAGGGCGAGAATGGTAACTAGGATCTAGGAATGATAGATTTTGTTGCTGTTGAATGTTCGAGAGAAGTTTCAATTGGAAATAATTTTGGGGCTCGCTCAATTCACTAGAATTCATTTTCGTCAAAAAGACTGATATTACAATCCTAGCTCATAACGAGTATAGTACTTTTTAGTAGCCTTTATTTCCAACAATGGCAACTAAAAACAAAAAACAACAAAAAACAAAAATCTTTTCCGGCCCCACCCCCTCTCATCTTCCATCAAGATTATTGCTATCAAGATTATTATATTATCCACTATACTATCCTTTCTCTCTCCTCTCTCTCTATCTACACTCCCATGTATCTCTCCTTCCTCCCTTTTCTCTCCAGTTCTCCTCCGGCCGGCCTCTCCCCTATCTCTCCCTTTCACCTACATTTCCCTTTATCTCTCCTCCCCTCTCTCATCTTCTATACTCCCCTATCTCTCCTGTTTAATATTCCCACTCTCTCTCTCCTCTCCCTTATTCTCCCCTCCCCTCTCTCTCTCTTATCTACGGCCGCGGCCCCCCTATTGGCGGCGCAAAAAATTGAGAACGAAAAAAGAGGAAGAAAAAAAAAAAAAAAAGAAAAGAGAGAGAGTTTTAAAAAAAAAAAGGAAAGAAAAAGAAGAGAGGAGCCGGGGAGAAAGAAAGACAACGAAATGGCACTAAAAATTAGTGACATTAACGACGAATAAGGGAAAGACAAGGGGAAGGGGGGGGGTGCGTGAAGGCGGATACATTGAGGGGAGGGGGGAGGGATGACTGGTCGTATTCTTATTTTTAGGTTATGCGAAACTGAGTCGGAATTATGCTTCTTTTCAAAAAAACCTTAGCATGCTTGTTTATGTTAAGCCGTAGTGCATGAAAAGGTTGGTGTAGAAACACTTCTGAAAAGGCCGCGCCCGGCCCCTCCAAAGAACGGCAGAATGGTAATCTATAAATTCTGGGGTCATTCTTGATGGCTTGGGAGCCGTTATTGAAGAGGGGGCCGGCCCTACTCAAATGGTTGTGACGGTAACGATGGATAAGGGAATAACGAGGAAGGGATGCACATGCAGGCGCGTACGCAGGGGGGGGGGGGGGGGGGGGTCGAACCCCCCCCTCAAATTTTTGTCTAGTTGTCAAGTTGGTCCTGATGTGTATAATGCGTAGACCAGGGGTTCTCAAACTTTTTCTTTGACGGTCCAGAAGCGATTTCTATGAAAGCTGTAAGGTCCGAAATGACTCTTGTATACTTAAGATAATGAGGCTTGTTTTTAGTCTATATCTGATCCAAGGAGAATTGTTACAGTTAAAAAAAAACAGAACCGCCAGTGCTTCCACTCGTTTAAATAGAGTTTCCTGAAAAATAACACCCAATATCCTGGAATTTGAAGGAATTTTCTTAAAACTTTCAAAATGCCTCTTACGTGGATTTCTTATTTGGATGAATCGCTGCACATGACGTTTTAATATATATTAATTATTGAGTGGGCTTATTTTGCTTTATAATGGATCCATACAACATGGCAGAGCTTGAGGGGCCTGGCAGAGCCTTTTCAAGAGAGAAATTGTCTTTAGGAGAGAAAAAGAGGTTATTTCTAAAATGAAATGAAAGGGCTATTTGACTTTCAAGAGAGAAAATTGTCTATAAGAGAAGAAGAGAGGTTATTTCTAAAATGAAATGAAAGGGTTCTTGTCAAATAGCCCTTTCATTTCATTTTTTCTCTCGAAATAAACTCTCTTTCTCTCTTATAGACAATTTTATAAGATGGAATCTTCAATCTGAAGCCTTTTTGTGGTCTTTGAAAATGGCACACTGAATGGGGGCAGTGCAATTTAAATTTCAAGGGATGGATTAGAGTTTTTATCGCTCTTGAAGTCAAATAGCCCTTTCATTTCAGAAATAAGGATCTCTTTCTCTCTTATAGACAATTTTATGAGATGGAATCTTCAATCTGAAGCCTTTTTGTGCTCTTTGAAAATAGCACACTGAATGGGGGCAGTGCAATTTAAATTTCAAGGGATGGATTAGAGTTTTTATCGCTCTTGAAAGTCAAATAGCCCTTTCATTTCATTTTAGAAATAAATTCTAATACATCCCTTGATATTTAAATTGCGCTGCCCCTATTGTGTCCTCTTTTTAAAGAGCACAACAGAGCCCTCAGATTAGGCAGCAAGTAGCAAAACAAACCCGTAACACTGGACACAACATTCAATGGGATGATGCCCACTTCATTGAGTTTGAAACGCACTTCTGGTCAAGAACGGTAGAAGAAGCATCTGCATAAAAAGGATGAATCCTTCACTGAATAGGGATTCTTGCTACACACTTTTACCTTTGTGTAAATAATAAATGGTCCACGGGAGTGGTTGTTAGAAGCTTAAACTACATGAAACTCTCTCCAATTTTGCAGGGGGAGAGCCTTTGCCGGGAGTCTTTAATAATAAAAGGGATAAATCCTTCACTTAATATATAGGGATTCTTGCTATATGTTACCTTTCTTCGCTCCAGTGATCTCGAGGCAGCAGACAGCAAGAAATTGTGTAAATAATTTGCTGTTGCCGAGAGTCTTGCATGGGGCGGAGCCCTAGGAAGTTCTTGAACTTTAATTTTTTTAAGGAAATTCCAAATAGTCGTCATGAGCGATAGAAATTGTAATTTCTTCCTTGAGTGTCACATAGCCCCTTTCATTTCATTTTAGAAATAACCTCTCTTTCTCTCTTAAAGACAATTTTATATAACGTTTTTCGTATTGTTGTACTTTCGTCCGCAGACTACTTAAGCACAATCTTCATGTCGAGCCAACTAAGTCGGAAAGTTAAGGTTCCTCTATCTTCTTCTTTTTTTAAAACATTATTCTTTCTTTTCTTCTCATTTTTCTGTGTGTGACATGCGTTACGCGTACGTCCATGTCTTAATATGGTAGATTTACATTTTGATGTTTCCCTTTGTAGGTGCACCTTATATTCCAGAAAGTGCCCTATTTTGATGGTGCCCCCCCCCCCCCATGTATTGATCTTGATAAAAAAAAATAACTTTCTCATTAATTCCATTTCCAATATATCTAATACTTGCACTAATCTCCAATTTAAAAAAAAAATCGTCTACTTTCTCTCAAGACAACATTATATAAAGGATTTATTAATGCAAGGCTATCTCGCGAGTAATCTCTCAATTTCTAACTTCCTGCTTTTCTCATCTCCCAGTCTCCCTTGCTTTAATATTCCTCGTTACTTCCTTCCAATTGTTCCAACTTAATTGATGTTATACACTGTAACTATTCTTCAACTACAGGTATATGCAAATGTTACTCAAAATCCATTATATAAATCACACTCAGGATCCAGCCAATTGACGAGAATTGCTTCAATCTATACTTTACATGTATCATTAATATATGGTTTTACAATGGCTATGGTGATGAGTTGTCTAGGTAACAAGTTGATGTGTTTGTTAAAATGCATTACCATGGTGCACCTTCTTGGTTACAAAAAATATGTGTATGTATTAACGTAACTTCGTGCCTTTACATATCACAGTAGAAATCAATGTTTTCTATTTGATGCAGAACAGCCAATCGACGAGAATTGCTTCAATCTATATTTTACATGTATCATTAATATACGGTTTTACAATGGCTATGGTGATGAGTTGTCTAGGTAACATGTTGATGTGTTTGTTAAAATGTATTACCATGGTGCACCTTCTTGGTTACAAAAAAATATGTGTATGTATTAACGTAAGTTCGTGCCTTTACATATCACAGCTGAGAAATCAATGTTTTCTATTTGATGCAGAATAATATTGATATTTGGAGATAGGAAACACAAACAGTTTCCATAACCGTTCAAGTCTTTCAAGAAAAAGTTAAGCAAACTTTCTCCTGGATGTAAATTCACACTAGCGTATAGCACTAGCGAGCTCTCCGAACCAGGCTAGACACTTCGCGAGCGGTTTCATTGGAATTTTAAGCGGTTTCATTGGAATTAATCGAGAAATTTCCCTCGCTAGCGTGTAAATAAAAAATACGCAGTGACGGCAACGATGGATTAGGAGGAAGGGGTGCATACGTGAACTGCAAGCGTATTGGGGATGATCATACTATCATTTTAGAGTGTGCAATCTGGGTCGGAATCCAGCATAATATATTTATAAAAAAGAGGTTCACATAAAAGCACTCATGATAAAGCCGCGCCCGGCCCCTACAACATCATTTTGGATTTTCAGATGATGGGGCGGGTGGCAGGGGTAGGGGGCAAAGTTCCCCACTTTTTCAAGTACCCCCAAAGGGCCACTTTTACTCTGTAAAGAAGTGCCCCTTCCCCTTTTTAACTCGGATAAGCGCACATTTCATCAACACAATACATGTGCCCCCTTTCCTATCTGATAAGGGCTATTTAGAAAAATGAGGCCCTTCATAAATAAAAAGTGTCCCTTTCATCTCTGATAAATGACCATTTTCATATATGAGAAGTTAATTCTTTTCACTTCAGTGCGCTCTTCATCTCCGATAATTGCCCCTATTCAAATCTGAGAGATGCTCGTTTTACTTTGAAAAGTACCCCTTTCCCTCCTGATAAGTACTCTTTTCATCTATGATAGGTGCCTATTTTCACCTTTGCTAACTGCCCTTTTATTTTTAATCGTGCCCCTTTTCCTTTCCAATAAGGGACCTATCCCCTTTTCATAAATGCCCCTTTTCACCTCTGATAAACCAATTTCTGATGGATGCCCCTTTTCAGTCGACAAATGCCCATTTCCCATACTCATAAGTGCCCTATCTCATTTCTGGTGAGTGCCTCCTTTCAGGTGTAAGAAGTGCCCCGTTTGAACCTTTGATAATTACTCTTTGTACCTTGACACATGCTCCTTTTCTTTTCTAATAAGTGTCTTTATCCACTTCGATAAGTGCCCCCTTAACCTCTCATCATCAGGCACGTAGCCACGGGGGGTACCTGCTCATCATT